ACAGTTGGAAGAGATGTATCTGAAATTTTTAATCACAGTGAGTCAACTAGTTAGAAGAAAATTTAATAAGTTGGAGAGGAATTAAAAAGAGGCACTAATCATTCAAAATGAAACTGCATCTAAAACCTAACAATCAAATTTATTACCATTAGCTGTGCTCATGAAGAGGAGAATGTTACATCTTTTCCCCCATGTCGCCTTGATGTGGCGTGCTTTTTTCTCATGATTAGAAGGGGATGTCATAATCCAACACAACACTCGGACCTTTTCAGCTAATTTCTGAGCTACAACATCTTCGCCTGCAAAAAGAACAGGCATATACTGTAATAACAATGGTTGAATGAGGGCAAGAGCCATTGTATAAGGGTTAAGACCTTACCTTTATGAAAGTCTTCATCAGAGCTATGCGCTCCAAACTCCTGAGGGTGGGGTAACATCTCACTAGAATCTTGGCCATGACCATGAGAGTCACTATGCCTTGGCCCTGGTCTGTTGGTACAAGAATGCAGAATTATTTTACCATTTAAAAAAATAAAAAAATAAATTCTTTGAAGTTAACAAATTTACCTTGGAGGTATCAGCAAGTCACCAAATGATGAAATATTGGAAGAAATAGAAAGCAGCATAAATGCTGAACTGAATCCAATAAAAATGCCACATATAAGGTAGCAAAACGTCCGTCCTGCAGGAGGCCGCAGCAAACCTGAGCGTATGTCATTAAATAGTCATACATGACTGGTTCAGGAAATCCACAACCAAACAAGACATTTAAATTTCAAATGTGCTCTTGTGCAAGGGAACCACCCCACCCAATCATACACCCGATTACACACAATTTTTTGAAAAACATACCGGTGTACCCCGAAGTTGTCATGGAGTCTAGTCTAACTCCACTCCAGAATATTACGTCCCCACGCTAGAGTGATCGTCCACTTGACGTATGACGTCCCGGCGTCTGATAAGACTGATAAGGCACACGGGAAGAGGAAGAAAGGGGGCGGGAGGGGGGAGGCATCAGACCTATGAGTTGTAATACTCGCACTCGAACCCCCTCGTAGCAGCCCGGCCGCACCACCAAGTAGGTCTCCATCAGAATGGGCACCCGCTCGGGGGGGCCCCCCTCTGCCTTCCCCCAACACAAACACAAACATGAAACCAACAGCTTTATGGTTTGTTCATGCTTCTTCTCAGTTAACAAAACTACAAATGTTATAATTTGACTGAATGTGAACACCCTCTGAACAAGCAAGGAGGTATTGGTAACAATAGAACTTCTGTTAAAGTACATTGTAAACATATCAGTTCAAAGTTTTCCCTATGTATGTGGTTATTTCTTGCTGAGATTAACTGATTTTTCTGCTGTGACTGGTGATGATGAAGAAAGAGTTGATGATGATACAGCAGCAGATGATACTGATGACACAGTACTTGAATTTTCTGCAGCTTGCTCTGCTGGTAGATCTACTGCATGATTGATTCCATAGGGCCTTAAATGATATATAAGATACTCGAGGACATACAATTGTTGTGGAGACACATAGTGGAAAGATATGGCACTATCAGAACAACATTCCAAGCCCTGAAAGAAATAAGGTGAAATAATGTAATTGCTTATGTTTCTTGCTAATCAATCAATATTGAAAAAGTTGTAAAAGTATAAATTACCTCCTTTACTGGATAGTATATGTACTCCCAGTACCAATTTCTTCGATCAATTTTGCCTATAGTGATATGATCATCAGGAACAAAGGGAAAGAATCTGCCTCTTCCTTCAGGATCACGCGAGTCCCCTGCTTTCACACCAACTCTTTCCAAACAAATACCTAGATATGGATTCATTGTGATGAGATGTCAACAAAAGTATTTATATTTAAACTACTGTCTAAAGAGCACTTAAAGACACAACTGACCTATTTCAACATCCTCTGCACCTCCATGATCTTGACGACATTTCTCCTTGTTCGGTATACCATTCTCCACAAATCTTTTTACAGCTTCTCTGCTGAGCACATATCCTACAACATTTGTGTT